GTAAGTAAGTAAGTAGTAGTATACCCAAATACTAGTAAAGAGTAAACTTAAAGAAAGTTAAAAGATCCGAAGTTGAAGAAATTAGAGAAGACCTAGAAAAGAGAGAAGGAAGGAAGGAAGGAAAGGAAGAAAGAGAAGCCTTATTTTCAGAGACATGGATACTGAAGTTGAAATGACATGACGACTGAGATTTGCATTAAAATACGTTGGAACAAAAAATAATGAAAAAGAAATGCATGAAGCATTGTGCTAAAACGTTAATCATTTTTTAATCTGAGTAATGAATATATGAGCCCTTATCTCCATTTTGTACATATTTGAAATTTTTCATAAGAAAACGTAAGTACTGGCAATCTAGTTGGAAAATAAAAAGGCATAATTCAGTGAGCACTTCCTACATGCTGGGATAGGTCTGGTATTTGAAACAAATCTCTGAAGTAGTCAGTAGCATTTCCATTTGAAGGAAAAAGAAACCGCGTTTCAAAGAGTTTAAATTCCCTGCCAAGCTAGTGGAAACAGTATTTGCACTCAGACAATAAAAAAAGATAAACATTGTCTTTATCTTCATACATCTTCTGGTTCAAAGGAATACAAAAATAATGAAAGAAAGAAACCACATTAAATGGTAGGAATTCTTTGTATTGAAAAGATCATCCCAAATTTCACAATGTAGCATCAAAGCTGGAGGTGCCCTTGGTGTTCGTGCAGAGTCACCCCAGCGGCCAAAGAGGCTAGGCCTCAGCGACCTTACCCCAGACCTCACAGGTGGTCATTGTCACAGGCATATGTAAACCACTCTGAGGACTGTTATCTCCCCACATCCTAGAACAACTAATGTCAACTCATATGAAGTCTTGAGCATCTTGCAAATGGTAGTTCCATTTTGTGAAGCCTCTAAGCATTTCCCCCAACTTTTAAACATAGAGTGACAAAAAGTGAATTCCCAGAATAATCTGAATAATGTGAAATAAGAGAAAGTCCATCAGGCGGTCAGTAATTTGGGAGGCCGAAGAGCCACATGAATGGCTAGTTACAGCCCAGGTCTGACTTAAAGTTGTACATTTGAAGACATACTTTTGATATCAAGTGTGCATGCGTGTGTGTGTGTGTGTGTGTGTATTTACATAGATTTCATAAATCAACAGAAATAGAGGAAAAGAGCATCCCGGAGTAATGAGCATGGAGGTTATCACTTAGAATTTCAATTTAAAAGGAAGATACTTAAATTCTCAAGCAGCGGAAAGCGGCGGCCGCGGAGTGTCTTCCGGATGCTGAGGGCCCAGAGGCGGCGGCGAGGCCCAGGCCGGCCGCCGGCGCCGCCATGAACTCTGCCGAGGCAGAGTTCCTGGCCGAGAAGGAGCTGGTCACCATTATCCCGGACTTCAGTCTGGACAAGATCTACCTTATTGGGGGCAACCTGGGGCCTTCCAGCCCTGGGTTACCCGTGGAATTGCCTCTGTGGCTGGCCGTCAACTTGAAACAAAGACAGAAGTGTCGGCTGGTTCCTCCCGAGTGGGTGGACTTGGAAAAGTTGGAGACAATGAGGGATCATGAACGAAAGGAAGACTCTTTCACCCCTATGCCCAGCCCTTCCTACGTGGAACTCAGCAAACTCCTGTTAAACCATGCTTCGGACAGCATCCCGAAAGCAGATGAGATCTCAGGGATGTGTGGGACACTCGCATAGCCAAGCTCCGGGTGTCTGCTGACAGACTGGTGAGACAGCAAGAGTCACGTGCCCCACTGGACAACCTGACCTTGATGGAGATCAACACCAGCGGGGTTTTCTTCATACATGCGCTCAATCACATGTACAAACTCCGCACAAACCTGCAGCCTCTGAAGGTGTGCAGTCTCAGGCCTTCTAGGGAGACTCCGGTTTGTAAAGGCCTCGTGTCTGCCGGCAGGAGGCTCGCCAGCTGGTGAGTGAGTGCTCAGGGTGCGACAGAGGTACTCATATTTCTGGAACGCAAGAACCACTTCTGAACGTGTGGGGAATAAAAAGCGCCGTGAAGCAAGGAATGGATTTATAACATCGGGAAGCAACAGGCTTGCGCTTAGCCCCCAAGACGCTCATTAATTCCCCATCCGTATCTAGCAGCCAGCTGTCCTTGTATAGGGGCGGAGGAGAAAAAGAGCTTCGGCAAAACAAGTTATTTTCCCCAGCAGAGCCTCAGGTCTCCCGCACAGAACAGTCACAGGCAGGTGAGTGTTCACTGATGTCAGGCCTTGCTTTTAAAAGAGCCGTGGTAGGAGTGGCAATGGTGGCCTCAGCCTTTTTTCTTTCTTGCTACTGATCACTTGGACTCAATTTAGAATGTCCTACAGAGGTTGTTCACACAGGATAGCAGACGAGGGGCTGGTGACAGCGAGCCATGTTCATCATCTGAACCCTGAGACACAGTAAAGATGGATCGGCCCAAATCTCTGTTGGGTTCGTTTCCTGCGTAACTAACCCCTGACGGGGCAAGCCAAGTGGCTAAAATGGCCTGATCGACCAGAGAGGTGGGTAGCAGGCAGCTGTCAGCTTCAGCCCAGGACGCTGCACGTCTCGTTCACTTGTCTACTCCCGGGTCGGGTCTAAAGGGTGGCTCATCATCAAGGGGAAAGTCAGGGGAAAATTAATTCCGTGTTACCGAGTGCGAGGGTGAAGCTGAAACGCGACACCAGGAGGAAAAGTGGGGCCTGGGACGTGGCGCTGAATGGACCGTTACAGGCGGCGGTGGCTCAAAAGGTATTTTACTTTCTCCCTAGGAGAAAGACATGCAGCTGCAGCATTCTGGAATGGCCATGTTCTCTGTAGAAAGCGCCTGACCTGGAGAGGGGAGTGATGGTCTAGCCGCGCTCACATGGTTCAGTGAGCAGCTGTTTGAGGCAGTAGCAGCGTAGGTCAAAGGCAGTGGCGTGCCAGCTCGGGGACTTTTTGAAGTGTGTATGTGCCTGATCAACTGAGCCTAAAGAGTACCTGCTGGTCTCTGCCCTTCAGTGTTTCGAGCTCAGACCTCAAGTTACTCGAGCACTTTTTCTCCAGCACAGATTGGTACCCAGCTGTCCCTCCAACCAACAGCTGGTGGCTCTTACCTGAACACTGAAGGGCCAGACGTGGCGGCATTAGGACCCAGAAGACCTAGTCCCACCTTGTCCGCTCACTCTTATGCAGAATCCTTCAGAGGTACTTTGGAGATTCTTCTAGCATGAAACAAGTTACCGTGCACGTTCAGGAGCTGAGCGTGTCTCAGATCTCACCCCGAATACCCTTCTCTTAAAACTTGGCTGAGATACAGTCCAATCTGTCTGCGTGTTTTACCTGTAAAGCTACAGAATTGTTGAGCTTTTATTTTTGAGGCGCTTTATTATAACATAAAAAAAAAGATTTTTGTCAACAAAAATAAATAAATAAATAAATTCTCAAGCAACTAAGATTCAGACAACAGATAATTAAGTGGAGAGCCTACTCCATTCCTAAATATATTTAAAGTCTATTAACTTTTCTTCTCTCTCCTCTTTCTCCCTCCACTCCTCCCTCAATCTCTAGTACTTTTAAGAAGCGGATTATGCCAAAACCAACACCTTAACGGAGGAATTCTATAAATAATTTTTTAAAAATAATAACCATACTGTTATGGCATTAAGTGCCCAAATCGAATCATCCTTTATACTTTTTCCCGTAGGTAAAGCCACACAGTGCTTCTCTCCTGTTAACTGCCCAGACTCCATGGCAAATAATGTTACTGAATTTATCCTCATGGGCCTTTCCCAAAATAAGGCAGTACAGCAGCTATGCTTCGTTTTGTTCCTACTCTTTTATACGATTCTCATGACTGGAAATTGTTTCATTATAATGACCATTCAAAGGAGCCCAAATCTCAACTCTCCAATGTACTTCTTCCTTAGCTTCCTGTCCTTTGTCGACATCTGCTATTCCTCTGTTACAGCCCCCAGGCTGATTACTGACTTTCAAGCCAAGGTCAGAAGAATCTCTTTTGTTGGTTGTATGGTCCAGCTCTTTTTTGTCCATTTATTTGGCTGCACGGAGATCTTCATCCTCACGGCGATGGCCTACGACAGGTACGTAGCCATCTGTAAGCCTCTGCGCTATTTGACCGCCATGGACTGGAAGGTCTGCTCCACACTGGTGGTGTCTTGTTGGTTAGGAGGGTTTCTGCATACCTTTATCCAGACCATGCTCACTGTACAACTGCCCTTCTGTGGCCCCAACCTGATTGACCACTACTTCTGTGATATCCACCCTTTACTGAAGCTGGCTTGCACAGACACGTACGTGGTGGGGCTCATTGTGGTGGCCAACAGTGGCCTGATTTCACTCAGCTGCTTTGTCATCCTCGTGGGCTCTTACATCGTCATCTTGCTTTCCTTCAAGACCCGCTCATCAGAAGGGAGGCGCAAGGCCCTGGCCACATGCGCTTCCCACATCACTGTGGTGATCTTGTTTTTCGTCCCTTGCGTCTTCATCTACTTGAGACCTTCCACCACTTTTACTGAGGACAAGATGGTGGCTGTGTTTTACACCATCATCACACCCATGCTGAACCCTCTAATCTACACCCTGAGAAACATGGAGATGAAAAATGCCATGAAGAGACTGTGGATCAAGAGGTTCGGGGGAAGAAATAGGAGAGATCCTGATGGGAGGTTCAGTGGGACTGGCACAGTCTCAGTTGTACCGATTTCCAAAAGGGCTGCTGGAAATGAGTCTGTCATCATCCCTTAATCCTACCACACAAATAAACAATTTGTATTGTAGATTAATATCATAGAAAGAGTCTGGATTTGAAGTGCAAAGATCTAGTTTGGAGAGCCTACTCTACCAACCACGAGTAGGTTGACTTTAGAGATATTCTAAAGCTCCTCTAATATCTGATGAGAGATAGTCCCTTCTGGGTGCCCTGGGTGGAATAAACACTGGTACAGAGAAATCCGACAGCCACAGTCTATTTCCTTACGTATAGTACTGTTGTCTCTGAGCAGGAGCCTCTAAGTGGTGTGGTATGTCAGGTATCTCTATTATAATAAAGGAATGACACCAAAAATAAATGCTGGAGTTGATTTCACTGCCCTTTGCCTTTCCTGTGTCCTCACTTGAAGCTAGAGATGAAGCTACGTTTCCCACCACTTCCCAGGGTTACACGAAGAATCAGACGAGAGGAAATGGATTGAAATTTTGTCAGTGGTGGGAGCTGCATTCATTGATGTTGTTACTGTTAACTTGGCAACTCTAGACGTCTAGACAACACTCATTCGAAGGATTCGTTTTAAGGTTAGGGGTTTCTCTCACATAATTTTCTTAAAACATTTCGTAAACAGAAGTTGTTTATATATGACATTACAGAAGCAGCTAAATTGGACTCAGAATTTTTAAAAAACGTATTCAGTATAGGGCTACCTGAGCCAAGGAGAGGGTTTGTAATGGATGTTGCGGTGAGCCAATCCCCCAGATAATGCCTTATCCCAGGGGAGCACCAGTATCATGTCCTCTTCCTCCAGCAGGCTGGATCCAAGACTAGTCTACTTTCTGGGTAGAAAGACTTGAGCCTCTTGCCTCATCTTGAAACAATTCTTAAGGGTCATCCCAGCCTTAATGCTCCTTGGAGGACCATCCAAGATCCTTTTTGCAATTGCATCATGGTTCAGCTTCCTCTGCCCAATTCTGCTCCTTTCACTCTTTTACAAACGTTGATCTTGGGAGCACGTCCCAATAAATGTTTACACACAAACTCAATCTCAGAGATGTTTCATAGGGAACTCAACTTTTGACACAGATTTACAATAAGAAGGAAAAAACCTATGCAGATACTAAAATAATTAAATTTTTTTGCATGACTTCAAGAGAGGAGCGCTCTTTCGAGCAGGCTTACCTAACTTGTTTAACAATAGCATGAACGTACCAAAATGTACATTTTAATTTTTCAGATACAAGGGAAATTAATGCAATTGATTTATATCTAGCTGACTAGCACCTTCATAACCTCTCATCATTGAAAACCAAGAAATCTGAACAGTTCTGAGTGAATTGAGTGAGTGATCTTTTTCATTTTTCTCTCCTGATGAGTGAGGGGGTAAACCCTGGATTCCTCCAAGAATCGGCTGAAGACTTTAAAATTTTCAAGGAAGAAGCTTAAAAAAATTAAAAGCGCAGGGGCTCCAACTGTTGTATGCTGTTTGTTTCTGTCCTCCCTTTTTTCTCCTACCCTTTATCAAGAGCACAGTAGTAGCTAATATTTTAGGACTCAGATCAGATAATGATTGACTTGACAGCATCCCACAGAACTATGACTATGTGTAGAGAATATAAACTTTTTATACAAAATGAGGGCAAGGGTAGATTCTGAGCAGCGTCATGGTGAAGTCCTGAACACTCTCTGTACCCCAGACCACTTTCCACTCTGATTCACCATGGTCTATGTCCCGAGGTGACCTTCATGGATGGCTGCAGTGGGTTCTCCTACACTGTAATAAATAAAAAGAAAACTGAGAAAAGACATTACTCCCTGGATCTTCTTGCCACATTTTTTACTTGTCGGCCAAACTGCTATTTGCCTCAACAAGTCTCAAGACCTCGGAAGAGCTGCAACATTGTTTGCCACTGAGATTGCTGTAGTTTTCAACAATGACCCTGGGCGTGAAATTTTCCTCACTCAGCTCCAAATAAAGTCAACCCTCTCCAGAATTGTGTGTGTGTGTGTGTGTTGTGTGTGTATATATAAATATATATACTCCAACATCATAATGGTGGTAAGTAAATCACTTATAACTCTAATATAATGGCTAAAAAAATAAAAGTATTAGAAATAACTGTAACTACAATAATTTTTTAACAGACACACAAGGTAAAAAGATGTAAATTGTGACATCAAAAACAAATGTAGGGGGTAGTAAAAATGTCAAGCTTTAGCATGCATTTGAACTTAAGTTGTTATCAGCTAAAAATACTCTTATAAATATGTTTTATGTAAGCCTCATGGTAAACACAAAGCAAAAACCTAAAAGTAGACAAAACATAACAAAGAAAGGAATCTAGGCAAATCACTACAGAAAATCATCAGATCACAAAGGAAGAGCACAAGCAAGAAAAAAGGAGCAAAGGTGTCGTAAAACAGCCAGAAAACAACTAATAAAATGGCAATTGTAATTCCATACCAATTAATAATTACATTAAATACGAATGAACTAAATTCTCCAATAAAAAGAGATAGAGTGGCTAAGTGAATTTAAAAAAAAAACCATGAGCCAACTACATGCAACTTATATCCCTTCAACTTTAAGGACACATATAGATGGAAAGTGGGGGAATGGAAAAATATATTCCATGCAAATAGAAACCAAAAGGGAGCAGAGGCTGCTATGCTTAGATCCAAAAAAATAGACTTTAAGTCAAAGAATGTAGCAAGAGAAAAAGTACATCATGATACAGTAATAAAGGAGTTAATATGTGGAATCTAGCAGAGAAGGAACCAGTGGTTACAGTCGGGAGAGGGAAGGGGGAG